AATCCATAGGTGAAGACTGAAACTTTATATGAAATTTGAGATTTCGGTGTACACCTATAGACCCTTGAATGCACTGATCTTGCCTGACTTAGAAATTAATTTCTGCCGAAATAAAAAACCGAACTGTACAAACTGGGATGTCTATCAGAAAGCACACAGAGAATACTGTGGACCCAATGATAAGCCGGACCCCTCGCAACTGTACCAAGCAGCAGCAGCAGCAGCAGGATACCGGGGAAACACGTGTTTCGGCTTTCAGTTAGTGCCTGTACTGCCGGTATAGTCAATAATCCTGTACCCCTGAATTTTATTTACGCATGTTATGACAGCATAGCGTACGCGTTCTGTACAGGCATGCAGCAAGTTCTAGCAATCGCACCTACTTCTTCTGAAGTACATTAATTTTTATGGGATTAGGCCAACTACGCCCTCCTTAGCCACCGTTTGCTCGCTGGGGTACATAAATCAATAACTTGAAGAGTAAAATTGCACCCACGACGCAGAAGTCTGCTGGGTTACTTTTTTCATAACTAAATGCACAACCCCTATTTGCACCTGCGCACAGGTCATCGTGACCAATGCATACAACTAGACGCATTTGCCGTCAGATCGAATGGCTAAAGGCCCCAGTTGATTCGCGCGTAATGCCCCTACTCGCATGTATTCGTTACGACAGTTCCAGAAACAAACATTCCGTGTGCCATATTTTCACGCAGGACTAAATTTACAAGGAGGGCTCCTTCTCGTATTTCTGAGCCGACCTGTACCTGAACGGCTGTTGGAGCTAATTTAGCCTTCATCCGTTCTAACTAATCGTGTTCATCTCTTCACCGGAAAAATTCTTCGTAGGTTCTTAATGACGTAGACAATTAAGGTTGGCCATCCGTAGTGCTGTAATAATGAGCACTGCTGTGACATTTCGTCGAAATACAGCCCCCCTAAATTTTTGCTCACACAATGCTATGGATATAGATCAGTTCTGAAAAATAGGAATCCTGTGTAACGGACTCACCCAGACAAAACGCTCATTTTTCTGGAGAATGAAGCGGGCTTCCAAGCAAAAATCTTGTTACATCATGGCTCAAAGATAATACACCTCTAAAAACTCCCACAAATAAGTGACTGCAAGTACTGTTGAATATACACGACGAAAATACAAGGGAGAGAGTTCAGTCCAAAATGCAGTCCAGTACACTGAAAGGGCACTCACACATGACATGACCCCCCAGGCCCCACATATATCAAGCAGTAGGGCAACATCAAAGCTGGTTAGCTCACATCTAATTAAATGCCATAAAGAGCACATTAGGGAGTCCGGCTCAGTCCTGAAAAGGATTGAGTTATTTGACAACATTCGAAGCAATGATATCTAGGAAATCCCTGAGATAACGGAAAAATGAACAGGGTAGAAGAGTAAAGTCGTCTTTCAGAGGCAATCTTATGGTGTTATTCAATAGTACTAGCTAACAGGTCGCGCGGTCCCCTGACCAAAATTAGGGAAATTATGATTGTATTAATAGACTGCATTTACACAGCCGTCAAATTGATCGGATTACTTTAGCCTGGAGTTTCTTGAAATTGTCGGTTGTCTTGTGGTCCGCCTTCTGATTCGCTTCCCTGGTGTGATGACGAACTGACAAGAATCAGTAGAAATGTTGGTTGGGGCGGCGTTTCGATCAATAATTTTGCTCCTTCGAACCATAAAACACAACCACGCCTATTAACAGCCCATCAATAGCTGCTTTGTGTATCCAACCTTCGCATCTAGTGTCTCCTTGTTCAGTTATGTATAAAACATGGACAGTCTTACCTGCCTATCGGACGTGAAGAATCGCCCGGGTGCCTTAAAAATCAGCCTAGATGAAGTTTAGGACGCGGGTAAGCTCGTATTCCCATCTGTTACGCTTGTTGCAAAAATAGGACGCATGTCAACTATTGATACAATTATAGGAATATGTAGTAGTAGTAGTAGTAGTGGAAATAGTAGTAACCGTATTCAGTCTCGGTCTCATTGAGCCTGTCTTGACACCTACCGCAGCTGAGTGAGGGTAGATAGTGCGGTAGTACCCGTGCAAAGTCTCCTGTCACTGAAGACTAAGTTAGGCGGTGTTGCCGGCTTGCATTGAAGAAAGCGACTAACACCGAATTTGGTCTGGTCTTTTAAACCCATGATGAAGGTAAAGAGTATGTTTGGCGCTAACTACGCTGCTATCACTTTCAAGCTACCCCCTGTGGCCAGTCACCATCACTGAACCAACCTGTTGGTGCATAGGGTGGACGTCACCGAAATCGATGTTCGAAAAATCATGTATAAAATATGCCACTGGAAGTACTTCTCGCAGTCTAAGGATAGTGCCACAAAACAATGATCAAAGTCAGTATCCGTCCGTTCCCTTCACAGTCAACTTGTGGTCGACACTGTTCATATTCGGTTTTCAGAAAGATATGATATTGGATAAAAGTTCGACTTCAAGAAACTCAGAGCCAAGAGATTCGCTAAAAATAATATTATTCCGCACTTGACAACAGCCTCTTATCCGGCAACTCCCACGGCAACCCAAAAATGAAGTGTTCAAGATAATATTTGATGTTTTCTAGGAAGTCAACGATAGCTGTGTTATTATTCTGATTATTAGTATTGTGAGAAGGCCTGCCTACTTTCATTAGGATGACTGAAATAAACGCGGTTATCGGCAAACTGCGATCTCAAATAGTCATAAACAGAAACCTTCGGGTTAAGAAAGGCTCCTCAGCGAAAAAGAAACCAAAGTTCCTGACTATGAATAGCGCCATTCCAAACTTGTTTACCAGAACAAGACGCAAGCGTGAGAATCAAAAAAATCTGAGGTTTCTTATTAGTAAAAAGAGAAAAAGCGGTTAAAAAATTGAACAGAAAAATCCAACACACGTGCACACATTCTCTAAGCTGCCTCGGTCGTGAACCTGGACAACACAGGGTTATTTGGGGTTCAGTAACTTCGCCAAAATCAAGAGGCCGGGAAGGGAGGGAGGAAGGGGATTTGAAAGACAAAATACTCAAACTGCGAGAAGACGCTGACGCAGAGTGGCAGTAACCTCGGATTCCTGACTGAAGAGAGCCTCCACACCGGAAAGGCGTTGCCAAAGGCCAGAGAGTCTGCGCTGTACATCCTCCAGTCGGTGGTGCCGGGCACGACCTGCGGAAGTCAATCGGTCCAGCAGGGCCAGGCTGTCACTGCCATCCCGGGGGACCAGTGTCTGGCTCACTTCAGTTAGTCCGATCTCCAGGCGACGCATTAAGAGACGCAAGAGAGAACGGGTGGATTCTATCTGCCTGGCGTGGTTTT